TGGAACAAAGTCATACATGACCTTCCAAACCAAAAAGCTGCAGGCCTATCAGAAACAAATTATGAACATTTAAAATATCTAAACTCCAAAGCCCAAAATATTATTTGACTATTTCTAACAAAATGTCTTTCATTACAACAAATACCAACAATATGCAAAACATCTAACATTTTTCTAATACTAAAAATCTATATAGGACTTTACTTTAGATCAAGTTAAACCAATTTCCCTTATTGAATCTATTAAAAATACCTTACAAAAATTTTTATCACACACCTTAATCAAATTATCAATTAACATTATCTATTAAATAACCTTAATTTTGTAGCAACCAAAAACAGTTCTACACACATTCCTATACAAATATTAATTAATACAATAGAATATTACAAAACCAACAACAAAAAAACATGAATACTCTTCCAAGACATGTTCAAAGCTTTTGATAAAATTAATATTAAATGCCTACTAGATGCTTGCAAACATATTGATATTCACCAATCTGAACTTAACTTTATTGAATATTTACACCAAGATAGGAAAGCCAGAACAATTACAGTCTATAGCCCTACTGACCCAATTACACTCTATTCAGGCATAGAACAAGGAGAAACCTACTTTTCATTACTCTGGAAAATCTATTACAATCCTATTCTTAGTTATATTAACTCAAATACAGCTTAAAACTTCTCAAAATATTATCACAATCCCCTTTAGAAACAATATTCTCAACTAAACTAACTCATATAACAATACCACTTTTTGTCTTTATGGATAATACAGTCTGGCATTGTGAATCTAAAAATGATCTGCAAGAGATCTTAGATGACATATCTGAACTATACCAACTAAACAATATTCAAGTTAATCCATCTAAATCAGACCTCATTCACATCTCACTGAACAAAAAAATATTATTTAATAACATTTCAAATATAACACCTCTAAATTTTAACAATAAACCAATTTTATTTTGCAAAGCTAATAAAATAATAAGATATTTAGGAATTTTTTTAGATGTCAAAGACTTAACTAAACCCACACTTGAAAAAAATTTTAGCAAAACTTCTCAGTTTATTCATACTATTCAATACAAAAAACTTCTTTTTATACAAATATCCCAACTGTTTAATATCATCTTATCACCATCAATTGAATATCTATTTCAAATATGTTCTTCTCTACAAAACAAACTCCAACAACTATCAAGTCTTTTTATAAAATGCACTAAATATATGTTACACCTATCTACTAATACAAACAACAACATACTTACCAATCTACAACTACTCAACATTTCAACATTCAACAAACTTATGCTTCAAGTTAGCAATAGTAACATAGAAAGATGCTTCAATACTAACATACTTCTAAACCAAATCTCTATATACTGGGTTAAGGATTGGCTTTTTAAAATATGGAAACCATCTCTAACCCAGAACACAATTCTAACCAACTATAGGAAATCTATTAACTACACTATAATATCTCAACTTTATTATCTATACAAAAATAATATTACTATTAACAACACCTATTTAAATCAATCAACAACTTACAAACACACTAACAAACTGAATAACATTTATAATTTCATTGCAACTCCTAACAACACAACAACTCTAAGTCTTAAAAACAATAGAATTCTTTTCTTAGAACAATTACTTATAGCTGATAATTTTAACCTCCTTTCTTGGAAAAATATATATCTCAGAACTCTCAAACCTCTACAAGGTTCTATCTCAAAATGGTTTAAAATACTCTTAAACCAAATATCTGACCATCTTATTTTGCATATATAGCCTAATCTTCAACTTCAACTTACCAACTCTTTTTTAAATACATTAAATCTTATTACATTCCAATTTGTAATCTCAATAAATACATAGTCACTCTACATTTCATCTTCAGATTGGCATATTGGCAAAATAACCAATACATATAACTCTCATGTACTGTTTCAAAAATACCAAATTACAAACTCAACAACTAACCCAATCAATATCTTTTCTATATCAACAATGCTTCAAATAAATTACAAACAAACTATTAACCTTAAATGCAAAATACAAAAAAAAAAACAAACCTTTGAACTTAATATAAACAACCAAGAAATCAAAGCACTTCAAAACATTTATGCAGACCTATATAAACCAGCTCCAAAATCTCTATCATCACTTTCACTACTCTCCTCAAAGATTTTTCTAATACAAAACATAATATCTGACCTCATATACCAAAACTAGCTTATAAACTTTTACAAAATATTACTATCTTTCAAACCAACTAACATATATTTTTATACAGATGCTTCTATACTTAATTCACAAACATACAACATCTCTACTAGCATAGCCTGGATTCTGGAAAATGACACACAAATTAAATTTAATGCCTCTATAAACTTTGTACCAAACTCAACATGAGCAGTACTAGCAGCACTCATTCTCTTATTTTTTATCTTACTCCCAACTATTCAATCCACATTCACTTAGACAGCTTATCTATTATACAAACTCTTACTAATTCAATATCTTATAGCTACAATTCTTAAACTAAACAAAACAACTGGGATATTATTCATATTCTAAATTATCTAACCAAACTCAAAAATATAAATTATTTATGCACAAAGTTAAATCATATTCAAATAACATTTTATATAATATTGCTGATACTTTAGTGAAACAAGATTCAAAAATAACAGAGCTAAAATATAACATTGACTATTTTTATTTACCTATTTTCTTTATTTAGAAAGAAATACTAATTACATTTAAACTTTGTAAATTCTGCAAAAACCTCTTTTCTATTCAAACATTTAACAAATTCTTTAACTTAAACCATTACAAAATCTTCTTACTATAAACATTTACTATTGTTAGACCTGAAACATGGGATCAACTAATTACTGATTTCATCATAAGAGCATCATCGCATGATCGGTAGTCATGATTTTGCCTCAGCTAGGAAGATTTTACCAAAGTTGAAATCCTGTGCTTATAATGATTATAATGCGTATATTGCATATATTGATTATAATTAGTATAATCAATATATGTAATATAAGTGCTATTATCATTATAACATAATAATGAATATCAGAATCCTAATAATAGATAGAATTTTGCTTATAAATAATCTGTAATTCTGTTCTAATAATAAGGCAGATTTGAACATAAGAAATAATAAACATCTTATCTTGCATACATCAAATAAAGGTTCTTCTACAAGTAACTGTAAAGAACTATCATCATAATAAGATACTTACCCATAATATTAATAAATCCTACTTCTGTTAGTCTAGTATTCTCGACATAATGTGGATTATTGCAATATTAGAAGAATTAGAGTGATAGTCTTGACATAGTGTAGACTATCCAGAATAAGCCAGACCTGAATTGAAATCACTTGCCAAATCTACATGCCTCTTTTGACTAAAAGCTGTCTGAACATTACATGAAGCTGACTTTTGATTAGCGACAGACTCACTGATTTAGGAAATCTCACTATTTACTGAAATCATTAACTCACAAAATTCTAATTTGAAACTTTATTCAATTAAAAATAAAATCCTTCTTAATAACCTGCCAATAATGTCAAATTTAAACATTTACTATTCTCTATTCTACTAACTCCAAATTGTTCCTATTGTAATTAATATAAAAACACTGAATATTTACTTCAATACTTATTTTATACTTACAATTCACAAAACATTTTTATTATTGAAACTACAAATATCTTAAGCTCTTTAAACTTCTTAAAAGGTTTACCACATACTATAACTCAAATTCTTAATTTACAAAATCTTTCTCCAAACTTTATTATATATAACACAATACTTTTATTTATTCAAGGCACAATAACACTTGACCAATATAAACAACTTCAACAAATTCTAAAAAAACTAACTAATAACTTTCTTATCTCTTTATCTAACTTTTTATTTAACTAGTTTAATCTTACTATTTGGCAAACTTATAATACCAAACAATATAAATGGAAATCAGCATGAGGAATTACTACTCTTACTAAAAGAAAAAACAATATCTGATTACCTATTATACAATCTCCTAACTCCAATAACAACATATTCATATTTAATACTAATATAGACCAATTTATTCTTAAAACTCTTTCTCAAAATTTTACTATATATACTACTTTTACTAATTAAAATAATTTTAAAAGTTCCTTTTACCTTCCTCTGTAATTAATAATTACAATAATAGATTTAACTAATACAGAAAATTAAAGGTTAATATCACACTAGATATTATTATATATATAGCAACAATAGTATAGTTAGGAATATTTTATTTATATATTTATATCCAATTGATATATCTATGTATTACTATTTTTCCTACTTGATATTATATAAGTAAAAAAAAAAAAAAATTTAAAAATTAAAAAAATTTCATTAAAAATGATTTGTTCCTTTTCTACTGACTGGTTTTACTTATTTACCCCCACTGTCTGATTGGATGATGATCTTCCTATCTCTGATTGGACAAAATCGGTATACCACTTATTAGGTGGCTTCAGCATGATTGTCATTAAAGCGTCACTTAAATTAATGTCATTATTGATCATTTGATTGTCACTTAAATTGATGTTATTATTTGACTAATTACTCTTAAATAAAGTTTCTTAAACAGTCACTTTTTTATATTTAAAATTTATTTGTCGCAATAATAAAGATACTTTTTTTTTTAACATGTCTATCCTAATCATAAAACAGTTAATACATCTAGTTTTACTTTGTTTGTATAATAGTAAATTGCTTTCAGTCTACTGTTACATTTTACTTTTACTCTACTGTCACATAATAAAGGGCTTTCATTCTGAATTCTTGTCTTTTAATAATTAGTATTTACAAATATGTTAACATTTTTCTTGTGGTTGGTTTGTATTTTGAGAAAAGTAATATTTTATGCAAAAGTTTGCTATTAATGTTAAAATTCTAGATGTATTTATTATTAAAATAGTGCATCATGTTAACACCACCTAATATTAATAAATTTTTTGATCTTGATGAGGAAATCCAAGAAAGTGACATGAATTTAAATGATAATAATATAGATTATGTACTTGATTCTATTTTAGATGTGACAAATGGTGTTGGTCACATATAGGAAGTAGTAGATGATAATAATTTGATATCAGAAAAAACATTAAATACAGAAAAAGTAAAGATCTTTTTACTTTCAGAAAGTGACTACATAACATGGATCAAAAGCCTGGAAAAACAGGTTTAAGTTATGTTCGGCATGATCGTCGAAGCAAGTGACGCAGTGGTAAAAAAAAATCAATAGACAGAGTGGTGGTTTTGTCATCATTATGGAATATATAAAAGTATTGCAGAAGAGAATTCAAATAAAAATCCTGAATTGCGCAAAAAGAATCCAAAAAATGTGGTTGCAAGAGTTCTATTCACATTAGCCTTCCTATTAATTCTTCTATTGTGGTCTTGCGATATTACTATAAACATACAAACCATTACCCTGGCTGCTTATCAGATTTATGTACACTTACATTTTCTGCAAATATCTAGGATTTTATTTAGAAACATGTTCTTGAAGATCTTGATGCTTTCAGCATACAAAAACTTTTATGATTTAAAGCAATCAAATTTAAGGATCAGATAAAAAATGATGTTCAAGGCCAGTTTTAAAATATTTAAATGTTACAGGACACTTTTATAATATGAGATAATATATATAACATCATGTATAATGTAATAAAAAAACTTATTTATTTTGATAGTAATGAATTGATCTCTTTGGAAAAATGAAAAAAAAGCTAATTAATTCAGGTTTTTGATTTAAGTTTAATTTATATTTTAAAATCTTTTTAGATTTTTTTGATTTTTTAATTTTTAAATTATTTTTTTTTTACTTGTAATTTTTTTTATTTCTTAAATTTTTTTATTTCTTAAATTTTTTTTTTATTCTTTAAATTTTTTTTATTCTTTAATTTTTAAGTTGTTTTGCTTTTTTTAATTGCCACAGAATGTATTCAGGTTTTTTGTTTTTTTTTCATTCTTTAATTTTTATTTTTAATTTATTTATTTTCTTTACCTAACATTGAGCGTATTTCAGGCTTATTTTTATTTTATTATTATTATTTTTATTAATATGATTTTTTTAATATATATATATTATTTATTATTATTAATTTATTGTCATATTTATTATTTTTATTTTATTTCATTTATTTATTTATTTTTTACTAGTATATAGTAATGGTATTTACAAATGCATGTTTATTTTTGTAGGTAGAAGTTGCTTACTCAAACATCATAACAATACAGATAATGTTGAGTTTCTATTTGTGTTCCAGACTAAGGAACAGAAAGAAATAATGAAAGTCACAAAAGTTTTATGCCTAGATGGCACTCATGGAATGAATTATCATAGTTATCATCTTTTCACAATAATCATACACTACCCAAAAACAGAATGTGGGTATTCTATCACATTCTTAATAAGTGAGTTTAAAAGATCATTGACATTGAAGAGGTGGTTAGGATTTTTAAAAAGTAAAAATAAGAACTTAGGTCCTGATATATTTATTGTTGATGATGCTGAAGAGGAAATAAAGGCGATTGAAAAAAGTTTTTCAGACTGTTCTATATTTTTGTGTTACTTTTACGTACTGCATTCTTGATGTAAAAGGTTGGGTCACAAGCATGGTGCAAATATGAATCCAAATAAGGCAATTGTATGGCAAGATTTGTAGAGACTAATGAGAACAGAGGGGTGGAACAATGCAGAAGCACAATATCAAGTCACAGAAGCAAGTAAGCAGTGGCAAAAGACTGGTGATGAAGTAATAGAAGAATTTGTGAATTATTTTGAACACTGGTGGAAACCCAAATATAAAATGTAGATGATATGTGTTAGTGGATTGTCATGTAATAGAATAGATATGAACAATTTAATCAAAGCTTTTCATCATAAATTGAAGTACATGTATATGAGAGGGTGTCCGGAACATCAGCTAGATAGTGAGGTTTATTTGCTTGTGGAAGTTGTGCTCCGAGATATAGAATTTTTAGTTCTTTAAGTGAGTTGGGAATTGGTCGAATGAACTTGCAACAACGCCAACAGCGCATTCAAGAAATTACTAGGACAAAGCATATAAATAAAAATGATATTTACAAAATCCAACTAGATGTTTAGTTGGTTCATTCTTTAACGAATGATGAAGTCGAATACTTAGTTTGTAAGAAAAATTCTATAGAGGGTAATGATGATATTATATTGTACATTTGTACATGTTTAGATTTTAAAAAGTGTCAAATAGTCTGTAAGCACATCTTTGCTATGTTATCTCAACTTTACGTTTATGATAATAAAGAAAATAATGAATGTGGTCAGTAATCAGTTAATTATGAATATAATGGGGTTTGGGTCTAGTAATAATTTTTTTTAACTATATTATATAATGTATTTATAATAAATTTTTAATTTTAAGATTTGTTATATGCGTGTTCATTATATCTATAGTTAACTGTACATACATTTTGTTACTTTATTAAAAGTATGATGATTATCTTAAATTTATTTTGTCTTTTTTTTGGATAGTAAATATGGAAATCTATGATAAAAATACAGAAATTATAAAATTACAAAAAGATTTTGCTGTGATAATTATAGAATGGAAAAAAAGAAGAGCAAAAGATATTTGAAGTCTACAGGAAGCCTTTTAGCAAGCTGCTCAAGTTGAAAGAGCAAGGATTGCTAGGATTGAGGTTGTGCCCCAAGTTGATAAGCAGAGAATCCCTCACATTGTGTTGAATATAAAGATAAGAAAGCAAAATAATTTTTGATTTCTTATTGTTTAATACATGTATGTATATACAATTTTATTATGTTTTCTATAATTAATATTTACTTGTCAATTATATAATCTTAGTTGAATCAATAATTTTAATAAGATAAGCCAGTTTAATTTAATATATTAGAAATTAAATCTTCCAATAAAAAGTTATAATCTTGAAATTTATACTTCCCACACTTATATTTTATGTTGCTTTATTTTGCTAAAGTGTGCAGATGTGTTAGTTTGCAAGTTATATATATATATATAATAAAGGATTGCTTAAGAAAGCCTTTTTATTAAAGTATTAAAGATTATTTTTTATGTAAATTTTTGATAAGACTAACACATTATGTCTTGAAAAATTTGTAATTTAGTAAATCTGAGCCAATTAATTAAGTGTTATAATTTTTTTTTTAAATTCTAATATTCATTGATTATAAATAATTCGATAAATATATGTAACATTTGGAAATCAAAATGAATATAAATTTCAGAGTTCTAATGAGTTTATTTTATTATAGTATCATGCTATTGAGTATTTATTTTCTTATTCACAGTGCAACTAACAATTAAAGGCTGTTAATCGCATATTAACTGTATATATTAATGTGTATACTGTAAAGTAATTAAACAAACAGCAAAATGATATATTAGTTGCATGCTTTAAGATAATAATATTGTCAAACTTTGGGCTAAAGATAAAAATAAATATTTTTTTCTAAAATAGTATACCAACCTGATAAGTGGTATAATGATTTTGTTCAATTAAAGATAAGAAGATAGTCATCCAATCAAACAGTAGGAGGTAAATAAGTAAAACCCTACTGACTCACCCCCATATATTCTTTATAAAAGTGAAGTAATAGTTTTTCTCTGGTCGATACTATTATGAACTGAATATGAAGAGGTAAAACCAAGATTTGTTATAACTTAGTTTTGTCAGTTAGTAAGTAGATTAATGATAGTATTGGTAAAAGTAGAAGAAAGAGCAAGATGCTGCAAGAAGTATTTAAGAAGTTTAAGATTAACTGAATTATAAGATTTGTTCATATTTTGAGACAGAAACTAAATTAGTTTTTGATTGCATAATGCATCTTTAGTAAGATTATTGAATATGTATATGGGTATGTACATGGGTATCAAGATACTATTGTTAGACAAAGCAACATAATTATATAGTGAAAGAATTAGGTGTTGTAAAAATATTTTACTAATTCTGTTTGTAATAATTTTTGTGTAAACTTTGCAGATATGTTCAATAAGGCTTATAGAAAAAGTAAGATTAAGATCTTCATCAAATGTGTTTCACTTTGGAATAGGTAAATTTTGCTATGTTTATATTTTTTAGGTATTTGGCTTGAGTTAAGACAGCAATTAAATAGGGCAGTTATGGTTTTAATACAAGTAGCACTTACATGTTTAAGCATTTTATAACTGATAACTGTAGAACTACAGGCTTTCTCATTTGGATGTTTTGCTATAGTTTGAAGCACTTCTTCTTTTATAATAGAAGTAGTAAGAGAGTTATACTATTGGATGTTAATGTATGCTTGTAGTTGATATTGTATAGACCAAAAATTATTAAATAGGTTTTGGTCAATTAGTTGATATGCTGTCTAGTTAAGAAAGTGAAATTGTATATGTTGTTTAATAAGATGTGGTTTTGTGACTAGTTGGTTAGGTAGTTTAATATTTGAAAAGTGAATAAAAGATTTGTAATGATTAAGGATGCTGTTAATAACTTATTTAGGATATGTAGAAAGAGTTTATATCTTTTTTTAGTAGTTTGTTAAATTTGTTATCAAAGTAGTAAGAAGTTTTTAAGATGACATGCATGATAAAGCTGTTTTTAAATATCTTATATATGCTAAATTCATTGTTTAAGTTTTGGATTTTGGTTAGAAGACAAGATTTGGAGATTACTGTTAAATCTTGTGTTTATGTTTTGAATTCTGGAATTAATTGAGTTAATATTTAAATTGTTATTTGGATTTTTAACAATTTTGATTAAGTGTTCAAGTTCTTTAAATGATATATAAAATAAGGTGCTGTGAGATGAGTACTTGTGATTGTAGCTACATTTGTAAGATTTTTTGTTAGATATTGAGTATATAGAAGAATAAATAATTAAGTGTTCGATTTTATGCCAAGTAGTTTCTATGCTTTCATTAGTATTGTGATTAAGTGAAGTGTTATATAAGTTAAGTTTTTGGAAAAACAAGTTAGAAATTTCTGTTCATTTTTCTGATGACATGGCTTTGTAGTTAAAAATTCTACAACTAATATCAGTATAATAGCATAAAGGTTTCTAAATGCATTAGTAAAAAACTATGATGAAAAAAGAATAGAATAGTTACTTGATGTAGAGTTGCTACTATCATTAAGACTGTATAAAAAAAAAACTGTAAATTTAATGAATCAGTTCATATATAGTTAATGTGGCTTTGACTAGTATTGTTTGATTATGTATAATGTTTGTTATTAATATGTGCTTCAAGGTTATATATATTGGTTTGATGTAAGTAGTTAGTTAGTCAAAATTTAGATAATAAGCTACAAGTATTATCATGTGTATTAAAGTCAACAAGAATAATTAGATGAAGGTTAAGTTGATGGGCTTGTTAGATTCATGAAATACCTGTTTCTTGTGTTTTGTTACATTGATGTGTATTAGTAGAGGAAAGATAAACTGCTATAATACAGAATTTAATTTCACTTTTGAAAAGAAGGTCTAAAGCTACTGCTCCTTCAGCATGTATTTAGCAGTTATGTACATGTGGTTAAAGATGGTTGCAGATTATAATAGTAGCACCTTTTGTAGAATTTTTAGAGTTTGCTCAAAAATAGGTAAACAGATTATTGTTGCAAAAATGAAGATTAGTAGTATTAGCAATTTTTGTTCCAGTAATACAGGCAATATCAATGTTATTATAAAGACAGTAGTTTTTTCATGTTTTTTTTTGGTTATTGTATTGAATCTTTGAACATTATGTGTTGCAATGTTTAGATAAAGGTCTCACAGGTTTTGTATAGGCATAGAAATTTGAGATGAATATAATAGTGAAATTGAGAGTAGTGATAAAGAAATAGAAGAAGATAAAGATTGTTATAGTGGTATTGAGATTTAGAAGGTAGTGAATTTGGTGTAAATATTAAAGTATATTAATTTGTTAAGTTAAGAGAGTTATTTTCTGTTATATATAATTTTAGTAAAATGTTTGAATAATGCCAAATAGCTTGAAATAGTAGAATAAAATAATTAGATAGAGGTTTAGATTCAGATGAAAAGGTAAATATAAGCCTTACTATAATTATTTTTAATAGAAATGGCTAAGGTATAACTACAAGCATTACTTAGTAAATAATCAAAACTATAAATGTGTTATAAAAAAGAGATAATTGTTTATGGGTGTAAAAGTAGTAGAAGATGGTTATAGGCTAGAAATTTATTGTAGCATGTATAAAGTTGTATAGAGCCAAAGTGTTCATTAACAATAACCATATCATCATGGCCAGATAGAACAGTTTTTACTAATTGTGTATAAGTGTAATTTAAAGCACTATCTTTAAGAACAGGTTTGGTATATTGAGTGTTATTAAGTATTAGAGAATATTTTAAAGAAATAGGTATTGATAGATAGAATCCATAGCCAGATTGATGTAGGATGAAGTGATCAGATAAGGGTTCTGGTTTATTTGATAAGTATATTAAGCACTCACTATAGTCTAGTTTAATTAATATTGTTAGTATAAAGTTGTAAAGATTAAGTAGTATATAATTGTAAAGATGTATATGTTCAAAAAAGAAATAAAAAGTTTGTGAATATGGAAATAAAGATAGGTCTTGATGGGCTAACCATTTATTATAGCAAGAATTTGGATCAATTAGTATATTGTATGATGGGTTGTATAGTATCTTTTTGAAGTATAATAATGCAATGGAGTTTAAAGAGATAAAAAGTTCCTCTGTAGATTTACTCACTATATACTTGGCTCTCACAGCTGTGAAGAGTGCCATAGCCTGCTCTGTGCATTGAGTTTGGTCATTATAAACTTGGTTCTCTGCATAAATAGAATTTCTCACCTGTCTACTTATATCATTCTCTTCTAAGAATAGTCTACAAAGAGTAGAGAACATTATAATCTTAGAAGTGATAGCTGCATTAATATGTTTTATAGAGAAATTTATTGAAAAGAAGTTTCTGTAAAGAAGAATGAGTCTTCCAGAATTGATGGTTTATAAAAATTCAGATTAAATTTATTTTGTAGAATTTTTTCAGCCTCTAGATATGCTTTTTCTTAAAAGTGTTTAACAATTTCTGGAAAATTTATAGAGAAATTGTTATTATCATAGTAGATTATAACATGGGCTAAGTAGTTTGTGTCAATGATTTTGGTTGTAAGGAAGTTAATTGCCTGTTGCTAGTTAAGCTTATCAATATTGTAATTTTGTGTAGCAATATTTTGATAAATTTTAGATATTGATAAAAGTAATAGCTTCTTCATTTAGGATTTGTTTTAGTTTGGTTATTGTCACAAATAAACTCTTCAGCTTTGTTTGTAAAGTCATCAAGAAGTTGAGTAGATATATTTTCTTTAAAGATAGCTTTGTGTTTGGCATTGATGTGAAAGATTGAAGCATCAATGTTAGGTTGTTTTTAAATTTTGCTTCTGTTTTTGGGAATTCTGAGTAAGATTTATTTATAATTTCTTTAAAAAGATTGCTATAGTTGTGTATATATTGGTAGTCAAGTTGATTGTTTTGAGATGTAGTTTTTTTTGCTTTTTTTTTTTTAAGTTTTGTTTTGTCAAGATGTATACAGTCAGAGTTAGTACAAATATAAATATGATAGTTAGCATATCAAATAGCCTCATTATGTCATTGTTGAAGGTTGTGGAGTTCAGTAAAGAAAATTTTAGTAGAAAGAAGCTCTTTAAGATGTTTAATAAATAGTTGTTGAAATTGAAACCTTAGTGCATTTTGACTTTAGTTTTATTAA